CYTYCCMMCCCCMAAMCCCYTWMCCCCCCCCAACYSCCTTCTGCCCAATCCARAGTTCCTCCATTCTTCCCTACCCCCCCACCYCCATTATRGATCAGTACCCACTTGTCAGAGAAAACATTTGGYCTTTGATTTTKGGGGGGTTTGGCTTATTTCCCTTAGCATAATATTCTCCAACTCTATCCATTTACCTGCAAATGCAATAATTTCATTCTTTAAGGYAGAGTAATATGGGATGAAGACTATTCTTAATTCCCCTTTCCTTAATAGTTAAATATGTTCCGTTCTAAGTATTTTAATAAATGGCACATCTTAAGTGTAAATTTTTATAATTTTTATAGAGGACATACTGTCTTATAAKCCCCCATAAAAGATGCATTTCACTAATTGTGAGTCAAGGTTGGAAAATACAGTATGCTGGCAGAATACACTAAAGGGCATAAGATCAGTTACCTAAGTCTAGCTGATGATGGAGCTGAGAACAGATATGGCCACTTCTGCAGGTTTRAGGGCCCTGGAGATGAAGGGGCCTGAAATTAAAACTTTGTACTGGGACTGGGTCAAATGTCACATAAAAGGCATGTGTCCAAGTCAGCAGGCACAGTAGAGGATCCAGARGGTTTGAATGACAATGGTGTCCCATTGATGTGTGAGTTGAAGAGTTCTCTGAATGAGGTCTTCCCAAAGGAGAAGAGAAGAATTTGTCAGTGGTCATCTAGTCTATCTGGGAACCAGAGCAACCTGATCTTGATGGAACCATGCCTGTTGTCTAGTGAAAATATTCTCAAACCAGAGAAAAACAAGGAGGCTTCCAAGATTCTCCAATACCTTTTATTCATATTCTTTGTTCTCCAAAATTCCTTTAGTTTGATTTGCAACCCAGTGTGACTTTGCCCACAGAAAGTCTCCTGTGCAAAATATCTGAACGCGTTATTTTACAAGGCAATTCTCTTTTTCTAAATTAATATGTTACCATTTCTGTTTTATATATCCTTTGAGAAATGAAGTGTTTAGTCAGTTCTCCAGAGACTAATTGCTCTGAGGCTAAGTGCAGAAAATCTAACTTTTAGGCAAGTGAATATGAGATGTGAGCCTTAATAACCTCACAGTTCTGTTCAGGGAACCCCCCTTTAAAAACCATGCCTACAAGAATGCATTACTTCTATTTCTTGTCCATTGCCTCAAACACTGGATCCAAACTGCTTGTCTTATATTACTATTTTCTCACACTTCTTACAGCCATTGATTTCGAGTCTCGTTCTTATTTCACAGCTTTTGCACAAACATGCAAGTTCCCAATTTTTACCTTTGTGTGTTTGTGTGTTTGCACAGACACACACATTTCRTGCTTGAGGTCAAACTCAGGGCTCACACATGTTAAGTAAGTGTTGTTATAGTTAAAGCTTCATCCCGGGGTTTCATAAACTGACTTCCAGACCACTCACATATAATTGAATCAAGCCTTTATTGTAGCACACGGATGACGACTGACCAGAACATAAAGCTGTTCCCCTGATCAGCCCCGAACAATTGCAAGGGCTCTCCTTAATAAGCCTGAAAACCACAAAAGGAAGCCTAACCAATCACAGTTAGCCCAGTCACCCCAGTTACAGAAACAGAGACCCATTACCCTAGTTACAGAAACAATGCCCCATTAGGCAGTTCTGTGTTCTTAAAGGTTTCTATAGCAAAAGGAAAAGAACATCTTGCACCAGTCATGACCCTTCTCCTTGGCATGTTTTACAGAATGGAGTCACAAAACAAAATGGAGTCCCATTTGCTTTTACTATCACAGTGCTTTGCCACCAAGGTACATCCCCAGCCCTGGCCTTTCTTGCTGTCAATTCTTCCACCATATCTGGCAATGTATCATGGACGGAAGGAATAATATTACTTCTAGCAATTTCAGTTTTTGCATGCCTTCACAGAATACTGACCCTAGATTCTGTCCTTACTGATTAGTTTTTTCCCCAAGTTTCTCCAAGAAATGACCTCAGCTAAATCTTTGATTGATAGCATAATCTGGCTTTAATAGTGAGAGCACAGATTCTGAGCCAGATTGCTTTTGAATTCTGGCTTCGCCTCTTGCTAGGCTGTGTGACCTCAGACCAAGTCACTTAAACCTCTCTGTGTTAATTTCCTCATTCATGAACTGGGAGATATTTGAAGTGCCTACTTGTAGAACTGTTGTGACTGAATGAGTTAATAAAATTAATATTGTGGCTGGGTGGGTAGCTCAGTGGTAGAAGGTCTGAGTTCAATCACCAAGAAGGAGGAGCAGAGAAGGAGTGGGAAGAAGAGATTGAGGAGGAGAAGGAAAAGAAAAGGAAAGAGCACATAGTTACTCTATCTAGGATAGTAAGTGTGCCATATGTGATAGGAACAGTTATTATTTAATATTATCCACCCTCCTCCAAGGAAGTAAACATAGGGTTTACCAATTGCTGGAATGGGAAGAAAGCAACGGGAACACAAGGAGGAAAAGTAGATTTATATTTCAAAGTATTTTATTTTACCAGAGATAATTATCATGTTAGCTAAATAACTCCAAATTTTGCTTTTGAAATTTAAAGTCAGCAACTTGAATTCTCTGCCATTTTGAATGTATGATTTGCATTCTCCCATGTATGTAAATCACTTCAGCTTAATTGATTTTTTTTTTCTTTCCTGCAAGTCACCAGGATGACCTTTTCCTTCTAAATTTCCGAGTAAAGTGCAGGAAAATGTTTAATATGAAGGTCAAACACAGCTAGTGCTCCAGCCCAGTAAACAATGAAGAACAGAGGGAAAATACAACTTCTATTTTACTGGAATCTGAGTTAAGAAATAGGGACCACAGAACAAAGAGCAAATAACTACTTGAGTAACATCAGAATGAATAAAGAAAGGATGAACCTGGATATTCAGTCTGAAGTTATTGCACAACATGACTAACAGAGTTAACAAGTCACCTATTACACATTAGAAAATCCTCTAGAGGATTTTAAAATAAAAGGAAGTATTTTTTCCAGAAAATAATTGATGCTTATGGATAAATTTCACAACTTCACACCTTAGGGAATACTTTGGTTTTTTTTTAAAGAATAAATTGACCATTTCATCTTGGCAATTATTAACCTGCCACATTTTTATAACTAAGAAAAATTTGGCCTCTTTCCATATTTTAGTTAAAATTTCATATTATTCATATCTGTACAGATCATGGTTTATTATCCATAGGATCTATAAAGCAAAAATTAATACCCCTATAAAGCTGAACTTTGATTTTACTTAATCTTCAACTGAGTATTATTTACACTAACGTACAAAAATTCTCTGAGCACAAAAATAAGAGGTTAAAATATAAAGATATAGAATTGGATCTTTTATTAAAAACTCATACAAACAGAGAAAAATGGAAAATATCTGAGTATTGGGATTTTCCTTAAATCTTTTTTTTTTTAATTTTCCTTCCAGTTAAACCAATTTCTTCATGTTGTTTCTGGATGAAAGCCAGAATCAACATTCTCTGTATTTCTAATCAAATAATGGATAAAAATTACAAATTCTGAACGTAGTTAAAGGATCCTAGGAGGCAGAGTGTCTGGACCAAGCCTGAGCTGTCTTCTCTGACTCATTTCTGACTTTAGGCAAGTTATTTAATATCTCTGTGCTTCTTTATGTGACTGTAATATTGTTAATTTATTTCACAGGTATGGTAGTTACCACAACTCAAGAAATAACCGTTGGCTTTTGAAAGAAATCAGATGATTAGCAAGAAGGCAGATTATGCACCCTAGAAAATAGATGGAGAATTATATCTTCTTTCCATTCTCTTTATATTTTGAATCWTGGGAGTTTGATGTAAATGATAGGATTTGCAGTTTCAATCTAAAATGAAAAATAAACTAGATCACATTAGAATTTTCACTTCACAAATGTTTTATGTTATTTCATCTATTTGGGAATTAAATTTTAGTTTTTTAAGGCTTAAGTCAAGCATAAATTCTTGAGATAAATAACAAAGATATGATTATATTCCATTTTTAGACAAAGGAAAATTTTAGAAGAAAATGTCCTAAGAAGATCTCTAAGGTTGTGTTTATGGGTAAATTTTTAACTGTCTTACATTAAGGTTACATTCATTTGTGAATGTTAACTTATTAAACATGCTTCCTTCAGTAACTCTTCTGTCTTATTTCTTTTGCCTTCTTTCTTTTCATAATGGCCCACTTAAAACATCATTTTTGAAATTTTATGTTACTAATGTACTTTGCTTTGTAATTGTGTTTTTAAAAATTATGTGCAGCTATAGAATTTTTCATTTCCAAATTTAACATTTTTGCCTTCCAAGTTAATGGTGTAATTAACTAATTGTTAAGTGGGGAAAGAATTAAAATTTGTAGCCTTAAATTTATTTATCTATTTTTATTTATTTAGGTACTAGGGATTGAACCCAGGGCCTCCCACATGCTAAGCATGGACTCTGTCACTAAGCTACACTCCCAACCCCCTAAAAATAATTTATATCAAATAATATAGCCCATTAGAGAATGACCATTTGAAAATGATTCTAGTTTCATAATAATTTTAATAATTCTAATAGTAATTTATAATTTTAAGCAGCTCAAAGCAAAAAAACTTATAAAAGAAATGCAGCTAATTGTATAGTATAGAACAGAATATTTTGTTACAGGTTTACTATAGGCGAGATTTGCAGAATAAATAATGGTGTACTATAAAGAATTATGCAAACCAGATTTTCAAAGCAAGCTTTATTTTTGCTGGGCTGAGACTGAACTCAGGGCTTTCCACACACTAAGCAAGCATGCTACTACTGAACTACACTTTAACCTCCAAAGGAAATTTTCTAATACAGAAACATTTTTTTCCACATGCTAATTGTTAATTAGAATTATAAAGCAGGACACTGAGAAATTTTAGAGGACTTAAGATAACTCTCAGGGATTATTCTAAAGATAGTAAAATTAATATAGTGATTTTGAAAAATATATAATGTCATTTTGAAATGCCTTATTGTTTAAGCATCTACCAGACTAGGGGCTGCTTCTTTTCTCTGGGACAAACTATATTTAATAATTTTAATGGCAATGAGATGAAAATTTTAGGACACCAAGAGACAGAGACCTGTATAAACATTTTCATTAGCTTTTTATTTTCTATCAAGTCTAATGCTAAATAAAATTTATATACATTATAAAATATATAATATCAAATAAGAGAAAGGGGCCAGCTGTCAGGCCTATAATTCCAGCAATTTGGGAGGCTAAGGCAGGAGGACTCTGTGTCAAAWTTTTTTTAAAAAGGCTGGGAGTGCAGCTCTGTGTAAAGCATGCTGAATTCAATCCTCAGTACCATTCCTAAAAAAGGAGAAGGAAAAAGAAATAAAGGATACAGTGTTTGCTACTGTCTTTTTTTAGCAGTTCCTTCAATCAAAGGCCTGGTCAGCATTAACTCATTGGTTCTTTTCAGTCACAAGAACAATTTGAGTTGAAGTTCCAAATAAGTACTTTTTATATTCTATTTTTTATACCAATCTCTAAAAATGATATAAGTACACCTAATGAAAGTCGTCTTCTTCCTCTTCCTCCTCCTCCTCTTCTTTTTCTTCTTCTTCTTTTTTTTTTTTTTGGTATGAGAATTGACAACTAAGCCACATCCCCAGCCCTATTTTGTATTTATTTAGAGACAGGGTCTCACTGAGTTGCTTAGCGACTCGCTGTTGCTGAGGCTGGCTTTGAACTCCTGGTCCTCCTGCCTCAGTCTCTTGAGCCTCTGGGATTAGAGGCGAGTGTCCCGCRCTTGGCTATTTCATTCTTTAAATAAGTAATATCCCCTCTCAGAGCCTCATTTTCTCATGTGTTGAGGATCTCTGACTGGATGGATGATCTCACTTCCTGTGATTATGTTTTGACATCTTGTTCCAGCCTCATGGGATAATGCTTTCTGCCTAAAATCTCTTTATGTTTTATAAAAATAYTTTCTGTGTTTCATCCTAATTTTTTATTTTTGATTACTTAAAAACATTTTTTCTTGTTTCTTATTTCCTGTAACTTTAAAATTTCTAGGACTATGTTTATGATTATGTAATTGATTACATGTGTGAGAAATCTCTATTATACAGAGTCAAAGGGTTACTTTTGTTGTTGTTGTTTACTTTTTAGTACTTGAACTTTATCATAAATCTTGAAATTAAATTTAATTAAAGGCCAGAAGAGATTTTTTGAAAATTTCAGCATATCATATCTGTTGTAATTTTTAAAAATTGTAGCTGGAGATGGACAGAATGCCTTTWTTTTATTTATTTATTTTTATGTGGTGCTAAGGATCAAACCCAATGCCTCACACATGCTAGGCAAGTGCTCGGCCACTAAGCTATATCCCCAACCCCATATCTATTATAATTTTGCTCAAGAAATATATTTATTGCCAGCTGAAAATGTGAATCAAGCTGAAACTTTAAAAAAAAATTTTTTAGTTGTCAATAGACACTATCTTTATTTATTTTTATGTGGTGCTGAAGATTAAACACAGTGCCTCACACGTGCTAGGCAAGCACTTCGCCACTGAGCCATAACCCCAGCCCCACCTAAAAATTTATTATATTCATGACAATTGCCTTAGTCTATTGAAATAGACAAATTTTGAAGATTAGGGGTATTAAGTTTTTATTTATCTATTTTCCTTCAGGATTTTATAAATCTAAGTCTCTTTTAAAACCAAAATAAGCTATCATACACCAAAATGTCATATTTGCAAATCCTGAACATTTTTTGAACAGCATGGGTTATTAAGTGTGCTTAGTTATTACTAAAAGGTAGAGAAGATAGAGGGACTATGACAAGAATATCTAATAAATTGAATAAGCACAMAATAATTTGATCTCTAGTGAGAAACTATAAAATTTTAATTTAGGCATGCAAATTTTCTTCTCATCCATTCAACAAATACTTTTTGAATACCTATTCTGAGTTGAATTATGCTCCCCCATATATGTTCAATCCTAGTTTCTATTACCAGTGAATGTAATCTTATTTATAAATTAGATCTTTGTGGATGTGATCAAATTAAAATGAGGTCAAGGATTAACGTTAATCCTAATCCAAACCCCATATCCTTATATAAAGAGGGAAATTTCGTCAAAGAACTACACAGAAGGAAGAGAAGCCAAAGGAAATCAAGGATTGTTGGTAACCACCAGAAGCTAGAAAAGGCAAGAGTTTTTTCCGTAGAGACTTTGGAAGAAGCATGGCACTGCTGATTTTGAACTTCTTAATTTTGAACTTCTATTCTCCAGAACTATGGGATAATAAATGTCTGTTGTTTTAAGCCATCTATTTTGTGATAATTTGTTATAGCAGYCCTAAGAAATGAACACAGCAATASTTAACTATTCACCCAGCATTAGGACACAGCAGCACATAAAATAGATCAAGTCCCTCCCCTCCTGGTACTCACATTGTAGATAGGAGGTAGGTGGGAACACACACCATATTTCATTATATTGGTGATAACTGCTAAGGAGCAGCTTAACGCCTTGTAGCTGAGATGTGGGGTGCAGGGGGGACAGTGAGTGTTTTATATATGATAGTCACAGAAGATATCTATGGAAGGGAATATTTGAGCAAGGACCTGAAGACTATGATGCAGCAAATCATGGAAATGTTTAGAAGAGCATTTGAGGCAGAGGGAACAGCAGTACAAGTGCTCCAAGGAGTATGTGTATGTTAGCGTGTCTGAGAAATGACCAAGAGGCCAATGTGTCCAGATGATAGGGAGTCAGGGGAGAGTGGTAGGAAAGGTATGTGGAGGTGGATGTGTTAGTTCCTTTTCTGTTGTTATGTGGTAAATACCACAGACTGGGTCAGTTATAAAGAAGAGAGGTTTATTTATAGTTCCAGAGGCTGGGAAGTCCAGAGCATGGCCTGGCATCAGCTCTGCACCTGGTAAGAACCTTTCTGCTGAGTCATGGTATGGCAGAGGGTATCATGTGGTGAGACAGAGCTTTCACAAAAAAGCCATTCCCTTTATAACCCATTAATGGATTAATCTATTCAGGAGGGTTAGAGACCTCATAACCGAATCACCTCCAAAGGTTCTATCTCCAAATATCATTAGCATATGATTTGAGGATTTAGTTTCCAACACATGGAATTTGGAGGATATATAGCAAACCATAGCATATGTGAGTCACCATATATCTTGGTTTGCTTAGGAAAGGCATAGTTTGGACTTGTCCCAGTGTAATTCTTAAAAATGTACTGTTTGGGAACAAACATTGGAATCTTCCAACGCTAACTCACACCAGAAGGTGGCAACAGAGATGGTGAAAAGCAGTTGAATGTTGTTTTGTAAGTTGAGAAGGTAGAGTCATTGCTTGGTAAAGTTACTTTGCTTACCTATTTTAACTGCATTTAGTAAAAAGTAAATGTTGTAATTTTGCTTCCAGAATCATTCTGAAGATTAGTTTATGCAAGAACCATAAGATTAGCTGGGCCTGGTGGCACATGCCTATAATCCCAGCAGTTTGGGAGGCTGAGACAGAAGGACTGTGAGGTTCAAAGCCAGCCTCAGCAAAAGAGAGGCACTAAGCAACTCATTGAGACCCTGTCTCTAAATAAAATACAAA